CCCCACGCCAGGCTGGAGCAGCAAAAAGCTTGAGAAAAACCTCCAAACACCGTGCAAGGAAAAAAAAACCATCCTTAAACACTGAAGCAGCTTGTGCCGCGAGGTGTCAAGAGAACGAAATCACGTCCCCTGAGCCCCTTAATTGTCAAAAGAACGATTACTTGTCCAGAGAACAAAATCATCCCCCCCCAGCCCCCCCCCCTCACCCCACCCTAACCCCCCCAAAAAACTCTGAAGCAACTTGTACCGCTTTCCTCTCAGAGCACGAAATTTGCGGGGGCAAACGAAGGTGATGGAACCTTGCTTTAGTAACTGCAGTGTGGACGCAACGCTCACTGTTGACCGTTCTTGACCCTTTCCCCTCCCATGACTGAGAATCCGCTCCCAGCCTCCTGTAGTTGCATGTGTTTGACTAGCTACAATCTGCATTGGCCTTTTGTGATGGTATGGCCTTTGCAACTGCTGAAATTGCCCAAGCCCGGAACATCTTATTTCGAGTGGCAACGGCTTTCAGCATGGCTGGCTCATGGATCCCATCTGCAGAGCAGCAACTTTGAACGGATAGGGCACTCTGCCTTGTCCGTCTTAGGTTCGCGCAGAGCCTTTTTTTGACACATGTTTCTGTTACGACTCAGCAGCTCTTGCGATGTCATTGAAGATCATGCGCAGCCTGCAGATTCAGGCTTGTCTTGTCTAGGGTACGCCCTGATCCTGTGACAGGTTGTGGCAGTTATGGAACTGGTTTATTCGCTCCTTGGCATTTTGCATCTTTTTTTTTGTAACAGTATTTGAATGAAGTGCGGACACTAGTAGCAGGTGGGTAACAGGCATTTCAGAAGAGCCGAGGTCCCTGTTGGCGTGGTTCGCGCCCTACACTCGGATGGGTGCAGCTGCCCGGCCTTGATATGCTGTGTGACCTACGGTCCAGCATTTGCGTGTGTTATCACGCGTGGTGCTACATGTGCTTAGTTAGTGCCATTCGTCGCAGCCCCTGCAAAGGACACTATGCTCCGGCAAAAGGCAGCTGCTTGGAGGAGCAAATTGAGACCGAACGTTAGGTGCTGCGCAGGAAGCCAGAATTTGTGAGAGAAATCTTCATGCTATTTCCTGCTTTAACAAATCCGCGCAGAAGTCCGAGGGCTCCGAGGGTTTCCCAGTAGTAAATCTCGCTTCAACACTATCCCGAGGTGTACTCTTGGACTGTGCGTACCTTTGCTGCTTGTTAACTGTAAACGCTTGTTGTCAACGCCAGGAAATCTCATTCAGTAGGTTGTGCGCTGCAGAACCTCGATAGTGGACTCAGGAAATGTCTGCAATTATGTTGCGGCAGCGTCCTGTGCCACATCTGCTGATGCTAGGAACACCCAGCCAAGGCCATCTCGAAGAATTTGGGCGTTGTAAGCTTGCTATTCTTCCTGATGACCTGGCTCCTCGGACGGCCTTGGGGCTTTCAGCTGAGAGAGTGTGCGACAGGTAGGTGGAGCTGCCTTGAAGCATTGGCTTCCACCACTTAGAACAGATGCAAATCTGAAACTCTGATCCCCCAAGATGGCTGCGGGCCTCAGCTCACAGATCCAGACTTTCCCCCCGGAGCGCCTCCCTTCTCCCTGTAACTCGCAAGGATTGAGCCTAGCACAGTTGCAGAAGAGGCGCTGAAGCCTCTTGGGCTGCTCTGGACTTTCTTGGCCAGTGGGGTTCTGGGACGCATGGTACGTTTTGTTGAGGTAAGGGCATTTTTTGTTAGTCAAACTCTTGGCCGTTGAGTTGGGCACGGTGTGTTGGATCGGGCTGTGCCAAAAGTTCTGCAGGTGAGGTTTAGGTTTGGTTGTGGTTTGGGATGCAGGGTTTACTGTGCTACATGGTCTTCCATGGTTTCTTGCAGAAACAGATTGGCTTTCCTTGTCTCGTGAAAATAAAGTACGTCCTGTCGCATGCGCTTGCATAGCCCTCGCGGCTTGGACAAAGGCAACTTCTAGTGTGGTCGGTCGCACTTGCAAAGGCTGCAATTGCTATCCAACTCTTCTTTCTTTCTTGTTCTGACGCTCGCCAACAGAAGTGCTTTGAACAAAGGCAACGCTGGCCAGCATGAAGCATCCGCGAACATGAGCCCTGAGTGCTAAAATCCCACTTGCACTTACAGAAGCTCTCTGAACTTCAAGCTCGCCTAGTCGTCAGCCTTTCCTGGTCTCTTTGGATGCGTTTCTGGACCGGTTTGCAGTCGGAGATGTGATCCTCTCGTTGAGCAGCTTGGCTTGATGTTTCAGAATAGCTGCCCTGCGAGGTTTGTTTTGGTTTCTGGGAGGAGTTACCGTCTCGAATCGGACCATCATTGCGATTGTAATTACGTTGCTTGTTGCCCAACTGTTAGTAGCACTTACATCGTCAATGCTCCACCATATGGTGTCCCCTTGATTAAGCTTAATACCCTTTCATGGGCTGACGACCCCCGTACCAGCAACCGTATGCAAGCAAATTGCTTGGCGCAGCAGAAGAAACTGTAGCAAAACTCATAGAAGTCGTGATAGCAGTAATGGCAGTTCTTCAACAGCAGCATCCTTGTTCATAGTGAGATCGAGAGCAGGAGGAGATGAGAAGTAGTAACAGAAATAGTATAATTGTGGGATTAGAACAGTAGTCGTGGTCGTCGTCATTAGGAGGAGGAGGAGGAGGAGCAGCAGGAGGAGGAGACAGTATGATCCTGTATGGCCTCCGCGTGCCCGGATATGAAAAAAACAAAGCATTCTCGTTATGGCAGTAGCTGTATGGACCCCAAGTGCTTCTTATGTGAGAAAACCCGAACTGAAAGATGTTATCGCTAAGGGCCTCTTTATCGAATCCAAGGGTCCTTAGCCTAATGTGAAATTAAGAATGAGGTAGCAGTATTGAATCCCCAGGGCATTCAATTTTGAAACTCCGAAGTCACCCAATGGCTTCTGCGTGGAACTCGAAGAGTCCCTTACATGAAAAGCAGGTAATAGCAGGGAAAATCAGAACGAAGAGTATGGAAGCCCAAGCCCACCTCATATGAAAGTGTGGAACCCCAAGGGCTCCTCATACAAAAACATGTGGTCTGGAACCGTATGGGCGCTTTGTATTAAAAAGCAAAATGAAAAACGGGAAGCCCAAGGGCACCTTGTATGAAAACAATCGCATGGATCCGCAAGGGCCACTTATTTGAAAAAAGTAAAGTCTGGAATCCGAAGGATCAATTACAAGTTCATTGAAATGAAGTAAGCATACGCAACTTACTTACCTAAAGTCCGGAACTAGAACTCTTAATATTGTATTCGGTTGAAATTAACCTCATTCTCGTCACCAAATTCGGCCTTACAATTGACGGCTGTTTGCGGGACTCTATGCCTAGTCGAAGTAGCAGAGTGACAGAGCTTAAGCTAGAAGTGGAAGGAGTGAACAAGTTGTATAAGTAGCGTAAGAAGAAGTAGAAGAAGTTATTCGTAGAACTGGTAGAAGTCGAAATAGAAGAAGTAGCAAGCAGTGGCAGCAGCGACAGCAGCAGTAGCAGTAGCAGCCATCGGTGACGGGTCATGAGGGAAAGGGTAGGGTTTTGGTACTCTCTTCGCTGCGCATCGGACGCCTAGCCGGGCCGCAGAAGCAAGAAGCACTGAAGATGTGGCAACTTGCGGTACAGTTTCAGCCGAGGGAGATTGGGGGATGATAGAGGGGGTTGTGGTGTGGGAGAGTTGCAGCTCAAGGGGGCAGGTCTGTGTCATGCACAAGCGCCAGCCGTCCGCGTAGTAATGCTGGAAACAACTGGGCGGGTGTTGCGTTTTTCAGTTGGTGGGAAGGGGCAAGGGGACGCAAGGAGCTTTTGCACGTCCCTAGGCTTTAGCCCAATGCTGCTGGCGGTGCATTCATGCACCCTTTCTTTGCCTGGAGCTTAAGGATACTGAAGCCCCACAGAATCATTTCCCGACAAGTCCTGTTGATGCAGGTGGTAAGCGATCAAGGCCAACCTCGCTGCGATGTCTAGAGTAACATACGGAGTTGATCTGGCAGAAGGTAGATTGTATTTCATTCTAGTGGACCCTAGAGGTGGGGCAATTTAGGCAAGCCTCAGCACCTGGCCGTATGTTGCCGGGAACCCAACAAAAAACAGACGAAGAAGCAACGATGGCGCCCAAAACCCCGAAGATGAGAAGAAACAATGACTTCAGCATAAAGAAAAGGTCCCACACCACATCTTGGATTCAAGTGTCCTGCCACGTTACCTGAAAGTATGAGGTGGGCTACATATCTTTTTCTCAAGCACCATGAAGCTGCTGGACAATCGCACCTTTCTTGCACATTGTGATGTTGTGGAGTTTCCTTTGCTTGCAGCTGAACAATGGCATCCAAAGATCTGTGGGCACTGACCTTCAGGATGTTTGTCGATGGGTTGCGTTTCGCGGTAGGAACGAAACCTCGTAACTCAAAGACGCAAGACTGAGACTGCGTACAAGACCAGAGGTACGGTCCAGGCCCCGCAAAACACAGGGTTTTTCTGCAGTCCTGGCGTCAAATGCAGCTGTCAGGTGGCGCCCTGTCCTATGCCCTCAAGGTCGAGAGCATTTGGGGTCTAGATACAACTTCAAAGCAGAGCTGATAGGGTGCCGGCAGGCTGCATGTTGTTGCGTTTTCGCATCGCAGGGTGCTCTCTGATTCAGGTGGAAGCCCAGTTTTGCTGTTGAACCCTGCAGAGGCGCAGACGGGAACCCCAACCAGATGTGGCTCAGCGCCTTGGCTTTTTGTGACTTCTTCATGGTCAGCATGTGCCATGTGCCGAGCATCTTGCATATTGGAGTGTGATAGTCCGAAAGCACTGCCGCGAGAAAGTGGAGCTCGCGAATAGCTGGAAGGCTGTACCTAGCGGGAGTAGGTCGCCTTCATGTGAGCATTCCATCACCTCAACCTGTAGGACTATTGCAGGATGTTGCAGGCCTCACTTGAGCCACAACCGTTAATCTCCATGAAAGGAACTAGTCTTCGGGCGGCCACGGTTTATAATTTCACGCAAACCCTGCTTACCGATAGGGGAAACCCAACATCGATACCCCTAACAAATGCTGTTTACCGATAGGGGACAGCCAACTAAGATGCGGCCGCTTCGAGGAATAATAATTTTGGCGCGAGCTCGCTTGTTCCCGTCAAATAGAGGCTGATATAGATCTCATTCCAGGCCCAAAGAAACAGCACGTGCCAGTACTGCTACGATGAATCTCATTGCCGTTCGCTATGAATCTCAGCTCAGGTGATGTTGAGGCTGCTTCGCAGCTTCCCGGGTGCGCACAGTGACTGGGGCAGAAGGGAGGCAAACCCAAGCCAACCCTCACCTGATTTGTGGCTCCCAGAATCAGAGCACTCGGGTTGTGGTGATGCGGTCGTAAGTATTGCGTCTTACTACGCAGGAATGAACGGCTTTCGGGATGTACTGTAGGGCCAAAATTCGAGTCTTTTGCGCGCATGTACCGCTACCTGGAGAAGGATTGGCTGGGACAGATCGCTCCAATGCTGACCATGTTCACCAGCATCTACAGCACTATGACTATTGTGGTTGCTGATGGCGTTCCCAGGCCCCCATTGCAAAGGTAACGACAATGTCTGCAATGCCATTGCTTGCAACGTCCAATTTTTCATGCGAAATTACATCCTTTCTTGTTGTGAGACCAGTCTGTACTCTACAGCCTAGTCTCTGACGCCTACCTTGGCACTTTCGAGACTACCAGCCCTCTCCCCGCTCCCGCCCAAAACTTACGGCTCAGTTTAGGAAAGCATTTCAGATGAATTTCAGGTGTATGGTAACCTGCATCAATGGACATGCCGAGTTTCTGCAGCCTGAGTCCTTTTTGCCGTACCGCAGTACCCCTTCTTCCCACCAAGGCATGATGGTACATCACGATGGCGAGGTCCGTGTTTGCAACAAAACAGGTTTCGGTCCTTATATTCTCAGTTTTGGTCATTAAGGAAATTCGTTGACAGGTTGCATCATGCTGTTACCGCACATCAAGGGCTCCAGGTAGATTTTGCCCAGAGGCCTGACAGGAGATGTCGACGTAGAGGCGCAGGAGTTGTTGGCTCTGGCCAAGATGAGCATGCTTAGGCCTTTGCAGTAGACGGCTTGATACCTTTTTGTTGCGCCCCAGTCCGTTCTTCTGGACACCCGCGACGTCCCTCCACATCAGCGCTGCTCAGCTGGGCATGTTGCACTGATGATGCATATGATAGGCCATCCGGTCTCTTGCCATTCCAGACATTTGCAGTTCTGATGTCTTGCGGTTTTCGGGTCAAAATCAGAAGCGGTCATGACTAGTCCTCCACTTGTAATGTTTTGTCATTAGATGCAGGCAACCGCGCATGTAATCACATTCTTCCTCTCTCTCTCTCTCTCTCTCTCTCTCCTTGTCTGCCTGCTTGACTTGACCGTTGACCTGCACACAAATATTATTTCAAGCAATCTTCTAGTACTGCTGCTACTGGATTTATTTGTGGTCCCATGCTGTCTTGGCAAAACTGCAAGGACGGAAGTTGCTCATTGGCGTGGCGAGTGGCCTACGCAGCTCGAGGGCTTCTACAAAACTTTTGAAGTCAAGTTTTCAGTTGCAACTTGTAGGCTTTTGGGTCTGGACTCATCTTCCTGCTTCCGGGTTCAGATTTCTGGATCAAACGATCCGATCATCAGCCCAGGATACATCTTCGGGCAGTCGGGCATCTTCCGAGTTGGCGAAGTCGCTTGTCAAGCAGCAAAGATGACTTGAGAATGGGGTTGCTGGGTAGGCCGCTGCTGAGAGATTTAGTCATAAACCTCAAGACAGTTGCAGGCATCAACTGCCGCAATAGCAACAAGCCTTTTGCAGCAACGCGTTGAACTCTCTTCGAAGGAAAACATGCAGTAATCACGATGGAAAGCGGCAGCTGCAGTAAGCCATTGGACATGCTGCTTGTGTTTGAAGCCAGCGGCCTGAGCCTTCATCCCGCATGGATTGATGGCCAAGGGCGTGAGCCTAAAGCCACCAGATCAGCATAGAATCTTGAAGCCTGTGAGACAAGATAACAAGACTCGTTTGTAACGGGGTTGTCTGCGGTTCGTTATGCTGGGGTTTTCTGTACGTGCAAGCCAGTCCTGTAGATGGTGGTCACTGTGGTCAGAGATGCTGAGTTGAAAGTGTTTGCGTGACTCAGGCGTTACCGCCTGTTCTAACATGGCTACTTGACATGCGCGAGACAGTCAGATTCAATGCAGGTCATGAGAGTGACAGGAACGATCGTGAGTCGTTCCTAGCGCTGAGCTTCTGTTTCTGCCGCTAACTATTCAGTTCAAGACTTTGTATGCCCTCAAAGGTGAGGAATCAGATCAAGGATGCCACGGCAATGGTCGCTTTGGCACGCAGCTTGTGTGCAAGTGAGGCTTCCCAAATGATTGACCCTACCAGAAGGGTCACTAAACGATTGGTCTGCTCTGATGGAACTCGCTGCAGTTTCACACCATCATCAGGTCTTGAAGGACTTGACTAATGTCGCTGCCGTGTTTTTTGCATCTGCCTGCTCTGGTGTGTTTGTATTCGGACATGGAGTAGGCTCTGTCTGATCAAGGCAAGGCGCGGTTCATGATCAAGACGTCCATCATCCACGCCCACGCCTTCCAAACCATTTGGAAGGGGGGTGTTGCAGGCCTTGGGGCCTTGGGGGTCGTGTAGCGGGCATGATGTCTGATCCGTTCAGTAGGATGATTCAGGATCAGCGGCCATGAGCTGCATGCGCTGCAAGGAAGGTGAAGTAGAGGAATACCGGATGGCAGTCCCAAGCACATGCGTAATGGCTCTCGACTACCAGCAACACAAGGTTGTTGCTTCCTAGCAGACATGCCACGTGTGTAGTTTCCATTTTCTTTTTCCATTATCCCCATATAACCCCAATACGATCCCTATAGTCCCTGTAGTTTCCATTTTCTTTTCCATTATCCCAATATAACCCCTATATAACCATTAACCCCAATACTATCCGACTATTATAGTACAATATACTATAGTAGTTTCCATTTTGTTTTCCATTATCCCATATAACCCCAATATACTACTATAGTAGTATATATACCCTATAATACCTATATAACCCCTAGATAACCCCTATAATTCCTGTTGTAGTTTCCATTTTCTTGTTTTTTGAATTTTGGACAGTGAAGGTGAGATTGAGACCGAGCATGAGCACCTCATGAAGGCCTCTACAAGTTGAAATGAGCTATAGTCTAAACCTCCTTAAAGGGGGATTTATATAGGGGATTATATAGGGTTTAGGGTTTAGGGTCTAAACTTCTTAAAAGGGGTTATATAGGGGATTATATAGGGGACTTCTATAGGGCTTATTAAGGGGGATACTGGGAGTTTAGACTATAGCTCAAATGTTGAAATGGGTGGTTGTCGAAATTGTGGTCCCTTTTTGGGTGCCCTAAATATTCGGGGCCATATTTTTATAGGGACCCAAAAAGGGACCATAATTCTGACAACCACCCAAATGATCTTTCTGTTTCTTGAGCCTTTATCAAAAACAGGTTTACTTGTATGATTTTGATTGCAGAGAGCAGCCTGTGCTTGTTTCGGGGTTGTGTGCGAACGTAGGGTCTCTAGTTGCGCTGTATTGGACCTGGTACTTCTGCGCTTTTGTGTTGAAGTCTGCAGTGAAATTCAAGAGGCATTCTTAAGTCCCTGTTTGTCTAGAACAAAGTTCGCTCTTCCAATTCAGCAGGAATCCTCTTGCAGTTGATTTCTTCCGCACTCGACTCCAAAGTAGGCAACGCTCCGCCATTCATCCTTTGATGCTGCCTCTGAATCAAGTGACGCGTTCAGAAATTGTGACTAGATTCTCAAGTCGTTTGGAACAATGTATTAGAAACCCACACGTCAGATGATGAAGGGTACTTGTAGGAGATAGTTCCACCTCTCTCTTTGAGCCATCTAGCTGTTCAAAGTCTCAGAGTGAAATGGGTATCCCATGGGCTCAGCACCTGCTACTTGCTGAAAGCTCCCATCTCCTTCTGAACTTCCCAACCTGCCGCCATGAAATACATCCATGCTATGCCAAGCTCAACATGGCGGAGAAGCGCGTCATGGAAGCAGAGCTGTCAGCTGCTGTGGAGGACATGTGCGACCACACGACCATGCAAGGCCTCAATTGCTTCGGCTGTAGAAAGCGTCAGGAGGGGGGCAGGAGACGTTTTTTAAAGTCTTGATCTTCTTGAATGTTTCGAGTTTCCATTGGAATCTACTGGTATTCCTTCTTCGCCCGAGCATGAATTTTCATGAATGTTGGACTGGTCCAAGCCCCATCATCTACACAATGGACACCAAGAAACACTGGCAAACTGGCTGACGTCCGGTCAGAATTCATGCTCATCACAACAGCCCCGCTGAAGCTTGCTTACTTCAACCCTAAGCTCTACCTCTGGTGCAGAACATCGCGTGCAGAAGCATGGGCGAGCGCGGAAGAAGCGTGTTGTGGAGGAGGAGGACCTGCAAAGCATTGCACACATGTGGTTGATGAGCTTGAAAGCCCGTGTGTATTCCTTTCAACACACATAGTATGATGATGTATAGTTGCAAGGCGCGTTCTCAATGCTAGAACCCTGAGCAGCGCCATTCGCAAGCCACTGAACCCCAGAATGAAGAGGACGAAGAAGCGCTTGAGGAGAGGTTTAAGATGGACCAGTTCAAAGCCCGGAACCATGCCACCAAAACAGCACCCAGACACTGCAATAGCATCGAAATAAGATGACTTGTAGGTTTCCTAGGTTGAGTTTTCTTCAGGCAAGGCCACCAGGTTGTATGCAGGACGTGTGTCAGTTCAGGGAAATTGGTCCCATGAAGCTGGTCGAAAGCAAATCATCATGGGAGTCCCAAAGTTATGGGTACCCTTTTTTGGGGGTCCAGAAAATAAATCTTGCAGTTTTTGAGGGTCTATATAGGGACCCCCCTGCTTAGGGGAAACTGCAATATCCAGATATCAGACAATGCAGCAGTAGTCTGCGCCTCTAATCAGAAGGGGTCCATTTCCCGTTTTCCAAGTGTTTATAGGTCCCATCTAGGATCAAGTAGATTTCGCCAGGAATCCCGGAAGTTGAAAGCCCCTGAAGGAGTAAAGTTAATGATCACCGTCTCAGACGGAAAAGGTTGGTCATTTTCATGAATAGTCATCCCACGACAGTTGGTACTGCGTGGTGTATGCTGCAAAGCGAATTCTTCAAAGCCGCAGTGATTGAATGAAGGGCCAGGGTTGATAGGAATGAGTTGCCTCTTTGCGGAACATAAGCTGGCGTACTTTTTGATGTGGTGCGTTGTTGGCATGCGTTTTGGCCAGGGCCGTTGTGAACAACAGGAGCTGCAGATTCCTGCTTCCCCTCACGCGGTAGACGACTTGCTAGTGCTATGCTTGTGGTTCAGCACTTTGCAGTCCACGTCTGAAGAAATAGAGCGTGCGAGCCGTTCTTCTATCAATACTACCCCTTCCCTGCTCTACACCGCTGTCCCCCCAGCGAGCCGACAACCATAGCCAAGCAGCCCGAGAAACCTCATGAAAGAAATCCTTTGACATGCAGACGGCACAGCCCCTTGGTTGACTCAGATTTACTACCGGGAGCGGAAAAAAGACGGACATGTGCTGGAGATAGACGAAGCGGTCCGAGACTCAGGCAATCATTCTGTTTGGTAAGTCTCTATGACTTTCTTACTCCCTCTATCCATCCCTATCTCTCGCCCTCTCCCTCCTCCTCTCCTGTTCTGTTCTGCTCTTCGCACCGGAGCCAGAAATGATGGATGGCCAGGGCGAGGGAGAAAGCAGGAGCTTGGGCTAGACATAGGTTGTAGCAAAGTAGGGACACTCCCCAGCTTGGAGTACAGTTACATTTCCAGTAGATGTTCATGACAAGCGAGACCAGTTTTGGCCACGGCCAGGGTTTGGGGCTGTTAGTGGGGGCATGTGGGCGCTCAATGGCGTTCATGCTCGGAATGTACGGGAAGTGCAATCTGCCGGGGAGGGGGTTCTCGTTTTGATGCTGGGTGTTCTGCTGTTCTGGAGCAAAGCTTAAACTAGCTGACCCTTTCGAGATTTTCCTGCAGAACCCTTTGTTGTGAAACCATTGAAACCAGCATGGTTGGTTTTGCAGTTCCACCACTGGCACTGAAACTTGCGTTGCTATGTATCAGCTCTGTTTGCATCGGTGTGCGTGTTATGTTGCATGCTTTGTCTTATAGGGCCAGTACTGCACTTGCCACCTGTGGTCATACATGACGTTCTTATTATTGCTAATTTTAATTGCTATTAGCTTTGTAGCTGCTTGGATGCGGCCTAATCCGAGCACTTGTTTGATTTGGGGGGAACCCCCCCCGCTAGCAAAAGGAATGAGAGGCGCCGGATTAAAAGAACATCATTCTTCGGTCATTAGGGCTTTTGCACCTCTATTAAGAAAGAATGGGAATGTATTGAATCTCTATTACAACCAAAACAAAATCATTCTTGGGTCAGTTCAAATATAACTGTACAAGAAGTAGTTTAGACTACTTGCTTAACTCTACTATCAGGATGGGTTCCCCCCAAAATCTTTAAATGTAGTCCCTTTTCCTCAAATTCCAGCCAATAGCCAATTGAAACTAGCCTTTGGAACCCCAAAAAATCTTAGAATAGTGTCCCTTTGACTGAACCAGTGCTCGGATTAGTCCTGTCAATATGAGAATCTTTATGATGTTTGCTTTCACTCTGAAGACTTCATGGGCGTGGCGTCAGGTTGCCAAATCGAGTGTGACTGAAATGTGGGCAGATTTTTGACATGGAAAGACCTACGATGGTCCTCCGAAAACCTGCTGCAAAAGTTCCGAAATTGCTTATGACATCCCTCGAAAGTCTCTTCCCGCGAAAGTCCTTCTGAAGTCCCGTAAAAAGTCCTGCGGAAGTGCAGCGTCCTGTGCAGACCTTGGAAGTGCTGCAGAATGCCTATCGAGGGCAACCAACTGATTTGTATGGGTTTTCGTGTCACAGCCGTAGCATTTTTGAGAGAGCGTTCTCCTCCAAATTTTAGCAGGTCTGAGTACGCCTGTTGGTCGGGCTTTCCATGAAGATGATGGTGCGGGATATACTGCAGCATCGTGCAGGTATGTCTAGATTCACGTGTACAAAGAATATTAGCTGAAAGGGTTCCCACTTCACATCTGGAAAGCGTTGTCATTCAACATGTCATGCTTCTCATTCCAGCGTCTTCCCTTCCACAGCAAGGAAGGCCGGAAGGGCCTGACAATAACTTGGGGGGCTGGTCTGAAGCTTTCGTGTCAGCATTCTGTCAGGCTTTTGCAACTCTTGGCATCAGATTTGCAACATGCTGCTAATGCTTGCCTCTAGAACTGCTAGTGCTTCTCTCCGTGCTTTCCCAGTTCGAGCAGCTCGACATGTCAACGCAGCTGACGTCATTGCAGGCGCTTGAGCGAGCCCCGGCTTTGCAGTACTAGCACTTCAATTACGCATAAACGCGACCATGCTGGGTTTATGTTGGTTTCGAGCTGTTGACTCGTGCACTGAACATTGAAGGTTGTGTAGTTCTGGCAATCCTCAGTTAGACCAGCTGTCGGCAATTCAGCCGTGTTCTTGGTCCCATTGCTGGAGCCTGACAGAATGGCCATGCTTGCTATTGACCCTCGACCTTTCACGCCTCCTGTCA